CTTACTTTTGTGAATGGTTTTCAGACATGAGTTGTCGTTTTTGTGAAAAGTTATGATTAGATGGTGTTTTCTTATAATTATTTTTACAAGTCAATTAATCAAAAATGAAATTTCTGGACTTGAAAATTGGATCGTTACAGGAATACTGTTCATATGTCCAAAAATAGAGGTGGAGTTTTGCTAATTTTAGTCCCTCTCATTTTTATTTTATACATTTTTAGTTTATTTTATCTTCTAATTATAATTTAAATGCAATATTTAATATTTATAATATCATGTTATATACTAATTTATATTAAGTTAAAATATAATATAATATAATATAACTATATATATATATATATATATATATATATATATATATATATATATATATATATATATTTCCAAATACACGCCTCTACTAATTAGATTTTAACAAATATATATATATATATATATATATATATATATATATATATATATATATATATTTGTTAAAATCTAATTAGTAGAGGCGTGTATTTGGAAATATATATATATATATATAAGTTATAAAAATGGAATATTCTAGGAATATACTTTTTGGGGTAAAAAATGTGTAACATCCATAAAATTTACACCAAATTTAAATTGTTTAATCATAAATAAAAACCAACATACGATTGTTTACAAAATGTTTTCAGATCACTATCCATCAGAGTGTCCCAAAATCATAGCATAAGGATGAGGAGCGGTATGGTCACGCCTTCGCCTTGCCATGGTCTCCTGAAGTACCTAAAACAATAAACTAAAAACTATAATCCCAAGGGCTTAGTGAGCTACCCCCAAAATACCAATACCACACTGATAAAACCATATTAGTAACAATCAAACAATCAACATGCATATTGGGCCATCGGCCTGACTGGTCCGCCCTACTGGGCCTACAGTCTATCTGGATCTACCCCGACCCTTCGGCATGACTGGTCCGCCACGTGGGCCTACAGTCTCCCCGGACCGCTCATAGGGCATGTTGGCCTTCAGCACGAAGCAGTACCGCCTCAACCCAACCAACAAGCAAATAACCATGTGCACATAACTATCATATACGGGCATATACAAACATCAAGCATATCTATCTTACTGATCATCAATCGTGGAATTCTCTAGAACATTGACCTAGCAAGTCACTAACATACCAATCCCTACGGATCATAAAAGCATAACATACTGTCTACACTGATTCCAATCAAGCAGATCATATTCACATGTAGCATACCATAACAATAACAACTAAAGGGTCGTCCATGGCGTCGTAGACCCTATCGATATAGTGAGGATAACTCACCTCGCAGATGTCGAATCGGAAGGTAAACTCCAACTCTCGGATCACTCGACACAGACTCCACCACCTATGATCATAGTACAATATACTCATAAGTCCTTAACCTTATAAGGTACTCTATAACCCACTAGTCAACCCCTGATCAAGGTCAAAGTCCTCAGTCAAGGTCAACAGTCCATGTTGACCTCAACTCGCCGAGTTCACTCGGCTACTCGCCGAGTCCATTGAAGCACATTCCAACTCACCGAGTCATTGGGCTGACTCGTCGAGTTCTTTTGAATCTCGATCAAACCTTAACGCCACCCATCGAGTTTCCTCCTTACAACTCGATGGATATACACACAAACATATCCTGATTAAAACTGATCCGACTTGCCGAGTTGTTCTTCAACTCGTCGAGTCTTATGGCAATCTTCACCGAACTCGCCGAGTTGTTCATCCAACTCGTCGAGTTCACGACCATCTTCATGCAACTCATCGAGTCAACCTTGCGACTCGCCGAGTCCATTCAGTCCTTTTTCCATACAGATCCATTTTGAGCCATGCAATGGTTCCAAATCACAGATCCAAGCTTCTAGGGCATGCTTATCACGTAAAGTTGCAAACTTTACGTGCATGCATGGCTTTAAAGGCTCTAAATGCCAAATCTAAGCTCTTAATGGGGCTTCATGCACAAGGGGGACCTCAATCATGAACAAAGTTGTAACTTTATGTTTCTAGAATCCAAGGAGGCTCCAGATCTGAAGTTACAACTTCAGATCCAATCCATACTCACCTTATCCACTTCAAAGTCCATTAAAAACCCTAGAAACTCAACAAAAAGGAAAAAGGGAAGTAAAGATGGCACTTTGATACCTCCAAAGGATGCTGGCTGAGGTAACTCTGGCTTCCCACACTTTCCTTGCTTCAATCCCTTTGAACTCCTAGCTTTATTCCTCCAAGATCCCTTTCCATGCTTCAAACACCCACACAATGGCACACACACACGAATCAGACTCTCAAGGACTCTTTGGAACTGTAAAGAGGTCCAAGGGAGGCTAAGGTCCCTTTAAATAGGGGTGAAAACCCCGGGATTTAGGGTTTCATCTTCCAGCTCCTACTCATCGAGTCCCCAAACAGACTCGTCGAGTAGGTCACTTAACACGCGATCCCATCCCGCTGCTACTCGACGAGTAGGTCAACCAACTCGTCGAGTAGAGCTTAACCAAATAAATCATATTTAAGCAATACCTGAGAATCGGGGCGTTACAAAATGGGGTAGAAAATGGAGTAGGGTTGGAGATGAAACACTATTTACCCCATGTTTTACTCCATTTATAGGAGAAAAAATGGAGATGGGTTGGAGATGGTCTAATAATGTAAAAAGAATGCAATGGTGATTCAACAATGTAATGAGGGAAACAAGACTTTTGAGTAATTGTAGTTGATGTGACCCTCACCGGTGCCACTATAGCTGAAATTCATCTAACCAAAAAACAATAAGACGAAGTGGCCCATAAACAGTGTAACTTGTTTTGCTTGAAAAATGTGTCAGGCCCATGAAATGCAGGCGCGTACTTAGTGAATGTCATCTAGTTTTTTGTACTGGTCTAACCGTTTGAACCATCAAACTGCTAAGCTGATGGATCAGGTTTTCAAAACATTGGGTATGATGGATTAAATTGTAAAATGAAACATTTTATGATTGTTGTTTTTGTTATTATTTTGTATGGATAATGACACCATAGCACAATGAAGTTTTTGGTTTGGTCTGATTTGAGCATTTATGTTATTTTTTTTGCGCAATAGGTCATCTAATTTTTATTTTACATGCCAATTAAGTCATTATCGTTACTTTTTAGTCATTCCTCTGTTAACCGGTTGTTCTAATTACATGAAATGGCCCCTATGGTTAAAAATTTATTCGTAGTTGGTCCCAAAAGTAGTAAAATTCATCTGTAGTGCAGGAAATCCCCAATCATACTTGCAAGTTCAGAAACAGAAACAAAGAAGATAAACAAAACTTACCATTAGATTGAAGAGAGAGAAAGAGGATTTCATCTGCATCGAGAAAAGAACATGCCATTAAATCAAGAAACCAAACCTTAAAAGGGGGATAGAGGAACCCTAAGTTTTAGATCGAGATTATGATATCAAACACTAGTTACTAATAATTATTCTTTCTACTCGGTGAAGAAGCATCATTCTAAAGCAATTTTGAGTTACAGCAAAGCCAGCTAATCGGAACCATTCAAACAACAAAACATATAAATAGAAACGCTCAAACAAAAAGAAAAGGTTGTACATCAAAAAGAAGATCTAAAAATGACAAAATTAAACAACACAAGTAAACATATAAATCGAAAATAAATATTATTAGCAGCCATACCTCGTGATGGTGCAATAATCCCCAATTTGAGAGAGAGAGAGAGAGAACCATTTTCCGATTTGAATAAGGTGGATGTAGTGTTGATAGCCATGGATGTAATGGTGGTGCTATTTAGATCTGCATATCAACACAATGATAAAAGTTCACCATTTATAGGATTAGAAAAACAAATAAACATAGATAAGTACACATACATAGATACATGATTTAAAGATAGAAACCTTCATGTAGTGAAAGGTATGGTTATGGTTTGTAGGGAGAGACAAAGGAGAAATTGATGTATGGTTCATTCGGTTCAAATCTGGGATTTGTTGTAGGCTACTTGGTAGACATCGGAGGAGTGGCGGAGGTGGTCGTGACCTGTTTTGGTGGCATAGGCCCTCAACAATTGTTAAACGGGAAAAAAAACAATTTTGGTGACTGACATGGTTTTTGTTTCTTGGATCGAGAGAAAGTGAGATGGTAACCTGGTGGTGGAATGAATGGCGAAGAAGATCAAAAAAAGAGGTGAGATAGAAGTGAAATGGAGAAGAGTGGAGGTGAGGAAGGTTATATAAATGGTGAAGAAGATTAAACATTATAGGGCAGAAGAAAGGGGAAGATATAGTGGGGAGGTTGTTAGAAGCGATAGGGAATTGTGACCTAGTCAATAGCCATGGAGATTTAAGGTTTAAAACTTTTCGATGACCAAATATGATTTGCTTATTTTATAATGCATAAATTGATTGAACATGTTGCAATAATTTTTGTACGACTTAAAATTCAGCATTTGACTAAAGATGTTTTATAAGGTATAATATATATATATATATATATATATATATATATATATATATATATATATATATATATATATATATATATATATATATATATATATATATATATATATTAAATCTTATCTTTTAATGTTGAATGTAATTTGAGAAAATGCTTAGAAAGATTTCTTCATTTCTAGACCATGGAATCTGTATGAAAAATAGTCTACTAGATTAGTTCCTAATAAACCTACCGCGTGTATGGCAATTTAATGAAATCCAAAAGACATAACCTCACATACATACATTATTCTTGCATAAACCAATAAATGAAAAGATAGCCCCTACCGAAAATCCCAAGTTTAGTGTTCATGTTCTTTGTTTGGCTATCTAATTTGTCCTATAGAATACTTAATTCTAAAAACACAGCGTTAATATGTTTAAAATATAAAAGTTCAGTCAACCGGAGAATGGCCACCCATATGATCTTGGTGACAATTTTATATATTGATAACAGGGAATTAAAATCCCCATCCAAATACAAGTGATCAAGCATGACTTTACATGACTATCTACGTTCAACCCTTTGCAGATTTGCAAACGACACCGCCACCTTCACATCAACCCAATCTGTGAAGCTATCATAAAAGTGAAAAAATGAACATCTCCCACGACGGCTGACAAGTAAAGTGCCACATGCTATCCAAAATCCAGTAACAAAACCACTGGCCCCACAAATATAGAACCATATTTCAAGTTCATCTATCTCTTCCCCATCACCCTCACTTTGACCAACGACCAATGGTACTTCTGATTCATCATTTCCTGGGCATTTTTTGGTAAGTGGGGGTCCACATAGTCGCGGGTTTCCGTTGTATCTTGACGGTTCAAAAGACTGCAGTTGAGTGCCGGATGGAATTCTCCCTGACAAGCTATTGTATGATACGTTTAGATAACTTAATGAAGTCAAACTAGACATACTTGATGGCATCTCTCCTGACAAGTTGTTTCTAGATAAATCCAAAGTTTCAAGCTGTCGCATTTGACCAATTTTTTTCGGAATCTCTCCATGTAGAGCATTCTTTGACAAGTTGAGTACACGCAGTCCATAAAGATTGGTAACTTCATATGGGATTTTTCCTGTTAAGTTGTTGCTTGACAAGTCAATGCTCTTCAACAATCCCAGATTACGGGTGAATTCACGTAAATGTCCTTTCCACTTGATCATTGCACGGTCAACATACTCATCATAAAGTTCGTCATAAACACCACCTTCAGAATAAAACCATTGAAATGAATAGGAATGTACGTTTTTTGTCGGTAAGGATCCTTCTTGAACAATGCTTGTAAGATTATCCAAACACGAGGGGATAGTTCCATGGAGATGATTCAGTGACAAGTCTAGGAACTGAAGATTTGGTAATTGACATAATTGCAAGGGGATGGTTCCCAAGAAGTTGTTTGATTCTAGGAAAAGAAAATACAACCCTGATAAGTTTTCCCCAATCCAAGCAGGCACTTTACCAGTAAACTTGTTGAATCCCAAATTCAATGAGTTTAAGCCCGTGCAATTCTTTAAAGACAATGGTAACTCTTCAGAGAAATTGTTCTGCTATAAATTCAATGTCTCAAGTTTAATCAGAGATCCAACAGAGGTAGGAAGCCTTCCAGATAGATTGTTGTGTTCTAGAATAAGAACTTTTAGTTCGTTAAAATGCCACAAACAATCTGGTAGTCGTCCGCTTAACAAGTTATAGGATAGGTCAAGACTCACTAAAAGCCCATGGACAACTTGGCATAAGAAAGAGATTCCTCCATGTAATTTGTTTCTGGAAAGATTTAACAATGCCACGGTGGAAGACACATCAGTTATTTGACCATAAAAATTGTTGGAACTCAAATCTATCACTGAATTGTTGTCAAATTTTGTTGATAAATCTGGTAGGTTCCCGCTGATGTTGTTTAAAGAGAGATTTATATATCTTAATTGAGAAGGCCACTTATCCCAAAAATCCAGAGGAATAGTGTCTGAAATTCCATTATTGGCAATATTAAGATACTGAAGACTGTTTAGTGTTTGAGTCCATTTAAGAAAGCGAGGCCCAAGATTACACGAACTCATAAAAAGATAGGTAAGATTTTTCAGTGTTTGGATCTCATCGGACGGTGAACCTGTAAATTGGGTATGAGAGGTATCCAAGTATTGTAATGCAAGCGATGTGCATCCAGACAAATTTTTCAGAAAAACAGGAAATTCAACCACTGCAGAGTTGTTATAGAAGTACAAACTTTTCAAGCTACAGAGGCTACCAAGATATTTTGGAATCCCATCTAACATGTTTATAGCGAGACCAAGACGGAGAAGGCTATTGCTGGTTAACGGAAACAGCCAATGATACATTGATGAGTTGAGACGGTTGTTTCCAAGATAAAGGTAAAGAATAGATGAAGAAGAATTGAGATGTGAAGAATATGGATACATGACTTGTGACAGCTCACATCCTATTAAACTTAAAACTGATAGTTTCCGGAGGCTCAAAATTACATCCACCCAATGATTTTGTTTGGCTAGGGAAATCCCATCCATAACAAGTTGTTGCAAATGAGATAGATGAGACAGCCACTCTAGGTTCTCAACTCTACATCTTCCAACAGATTGAAGGATAAGCCATTGCAAATTGGTGAGGTTTCCCAATTCTGGAGGAATGGTTCCAGAAAGAGAGTTATGAGAAAGGCCAAGAACCCTTAATTCTGTCAAGGAACCAATGGACCTGGGAATGGTTCCACTAAGATAATTGCTGCCAAGTTTGAGGTACCTTAATTTGGTCAGGGAACCAATTGACCAGGGAATGGTTCCATGAAGAGAGTTATTAATAAGGTCAAGGTACCTTAATTCGGTCATGGAACCAATGAAGGTGGGAATAACTCCATGAAAAGAATTTGAGTGAAGATCAAGATGAGTCAAGTAGCTTAAGTTATGCAAAGCATCGCTAATCTCACCTTTAAGGCCACCAGAGCTAATACTTAGCACAATGACACGACCTGTTTGGTTGTTGCATGTGACTCCTCTCCATTTACAGCAATCTTCTTCTTCTTCAACTCTCCATGTAGAGAGAGTTTCATAGGGGTCTTGGAGGTGAGCTTTGAAATCAAGAAGAGCATGTCTCTCCTTATCCAAACACTTCTTCACGACACCATTATCATCTCCTCCTCCCGTTGCTACCAATGGGTTGGCAGTTGTAGTCTCAAGGCATATCAAGAGAAATGAGAAAACTATAAAAACACAAGGATTCATTATGTTAAAGCAAATCTTGGGGATTTTTTTGATTCTATTGAAGCATATATGAACTGCCCCTCATGAGGGTTTATATACTCTCGATTGAGAAGATGAAGGACTCAAGTGAACAGCCTCAAATGGATGGCCTATTTGTGTGGGGCATACAATATGGAATTTAAGCAAAACCACAAGACAAATTAAAGATGATGAATTGAATTATAGTGTATATATATATATATATATATATATATATATATATATATATATATATATATATATATATATATATATATATATATATATATATATCCATCAGATACGTGATATGATATTATCTGCGTCTAAGAATTTAATGACTATGAAATTAACTTTTCTCACTTAAATTAATTAAGTTGTGAACTTGTTAGACCGTCGCCAACCATAACACAAATTTTGGAGTAACTCCATTTTTAGTGCAAAAGAAGTGGAGTTGGTGAAGAGTATTACTCCATTGTTAAAAATGCATATGTTTGTTAAAAGAGCTACAATAGTAGCAACATTAGAAAAGGGTAAGAAATCCACTGATTATTATAACTTCAAAAACAATTGAATGTATTCTTTTCATTAACCATCTCTACCAAAAAACAAATAACATTTTTACTAACTCGATAAGTTAATGAGTGGACAATCACACTTTCTGGACCTCCTTAGCTTTAGCACTATGTTAAACAAATTATTTTTTTCATACACAAAACAATATATAAAATAGCGACCGGAACTAATATCATACATTGTTATATACATATAAATAAATAAATAGTTCTAAAATGCAACCATAAAAAATATCCGACCATATTTTTATTGTTGCAGACTATGAACATCCCATAATTTATTTCGTAGAAAAGTATGAAATCTTGATTAATAATGCAAACAGAATGCTATGTTGATTCAACAATGTAATAATGAGAGCAACAAGACATTTAATTAACTGTAGTTGCTGGCCCAAAGTGAGAAGAAACCCTCTAGACAGACAGGGACTACGCAACAACTTTTTCTATATCTTTTAAGAAAACTTCCTTCTCAATAACCACATCTTATACTAATTTCTAGGAGAAAAATCAAGTAAAACAGCTAGATTCTAAAGGGTATTTGGGATTTCTTGTTTAACTCAATAAACATTTTTTTGGTAAAAGTACTTATTACGTTATGTAGTAATAAAAATGTTTCTAACAAAATGTTTGGTTTAACTTATGTGGTAACATAAAACATTAATCTTATTCTAATAAATAAAGATTTTTTTGTCACGTGTTATATTCTTATGCATTTTGATAAATGTTATTTTGTGGGTATTTTGAATTATTTTTTTTCCATATGTCATTTTATGAGTTTTTCTATTTTATTAAATTTACATAATATTGTAATATAATAATTGCAATAAATATAGTAATAAATTGATATCAATTTCATTAATAAACTTACATTTTAATTTCAAAATTTTCAAATTAAAATTCATTAGTTTTTTTGTTTATTTATTTAAATTATTTGTTTAAATTTAAAAGATAAAAAACATTTCAATTATAATAATTTATTATTTTTCTTATTTTCTTCAAAATTCAAAGTTCTGAAATATTTTAACATTTATACTTATTTTTTTTAATTAGCTCATGTAATACATGGGTTTCAAAACTAGTATATAACTTAATAAATCATTTTAAAAAAATTGTTTGAATTAACTTATAGTGGTTTTATAATTATTTTTAGTGATAAAGTCATAAGAACTTTTCAAATGTGGATGATGACTTTGTAAACTTGTTTTCAAAATTATTTTTCTATTTTCCAAAACAACACTTTTTTAAGCTTGTAGACTTTTCGAAAAACTAAAACTCAATCCCAAACAGGCATCTTAGACCGGAGGGTGTGGGAGGGACTCTTCCCTCACTTTTGGTGGATCATACCCCTCTTTCCCTCACCTATAAGTCAAGGAATGGGTGGGAGCCGTTCCTTCACTTTTTTTTAAATATATTTCATACATATATTATACTCATTTTGTAGGGAATTAAAAACCATAAATTTTGATATATTTTTTATATTTTTATAGTAGGTATATAATTTTATAAATATTAAAAAAGATTAAAAAAAAAAAAGCTGGCCAATAGCGTGAGGAGAGAGAGTACGACACCCCTTCCCCCCACCTCTTTTCCCGCGTTTCTTTCCCTCACCCACTGAGTGGTGTGCAGGAGTGAGGGAAGCTTCCCTCACCTCTTTCCCGCACCCACTCCGTCTAGCCTTATAGCTAACTAAACATAGTCATGAAACCTATAAGAGTTGTACTACGGAATACATAAAATAAATCAAAGTAAGAGTCTCACATAGCATAATTAACCAGTGAACACAGGTAATTCTTCATGAATTAAGTGGCCTCTCATTTTACAAAGAAAGAAACATAAAGTTTGAGCCAGAACCTCAAGAAGAGATTTTTAGTGCTGATTTCTCTTTTGCCTGCTATTGCTTCTGTTTCTCCTTCACAATCACCGACACCTCTGTAGCCGAAATTCATCGTTAATTTTCATCTTCCAATTCTCAAACCAGAAGCAGCAGAGTCGGCCCACAAACAGTGTAACCTGGGTTGTTAGGCAACCTCTATGAAGGCAAGCCGTACATATACTCACACTACAAGAAATATACTCTTTAGCGGCGACACTATTACCGGCGATAAGGGGCTTTACCGGCGACTTTATCTAAAGTCGCCGGTAAAGCCCCTTGTCGCCGCTAATAGTGTCGCCACTAAAGGGTTGTCACCTGAATCCGCACTTTCCCCCTCTATTGCATCTCAACCGTTCAATGAGATATCCAATCCAACGGGTGGGGTGCCTTATCCTGTCTAACCTAATACCGGCGACACTGATGTCGCCGCTAAAGGTTAAGAAAAGTCGCCGCTAATAGTCTGCTAAAAATGACGCGGTACCCTTCCCTCCAGTTTGTCGCCGCTATTACTCATTGTCGCCGGTAATGCCCCTGGCGTCGCCGCTATTGCCTGTCACAGTAAAAAAAAAAAAAAAAACGCACGCAAATAACCTCCCTTTTTCATTTTCCTTTCTGTTTGCTTCCAATTTCCTTCACCATCTCGCCGATTTCCTCTTCAATCTGCTTCTTCCAAGCAAATTTCTCCCCACATTGTTCCAAGCAAGTGTCTCTAGATGTGGTTAAAGCTTTGGGATCAATTTCTACCTCCATTTCTTGAAGAAAGGTAAGTTTATTTTTGATGATTTCATTTTTATTTTGTATGAATTTCGATTTGTAGCTTTATGTAGTGATTGAATGATAATAAATTGCTCATATTCTTTATTTTTGGTGGTGTTGTTTTGGATTAGAAGCATTGTTCCAAGCAAGTGTCTCTGTGGTTAAAGCTTTGGGATCAATTTCTAGGTACCTCCATTTCTTGAAGAAATGTAAGTTTTTTTTTATGATTTCATTTTTATTTTGTATGAATTTCGATTTGTAGCTTTATGTAGTGATTGAATAATAATAAATTGTTCATATTCTTGTTTTTGGTGGTGTTGTTTTGGATTAGAAGCAAGTTATTCAATTTTTTGTTTGTGGTTATTTAATTGCAATTAGTTGTATAGCTTCAAGTTGTATTTATATGTGAAATTATGTGAAAATTGTCATATGTGAAAATTAGATTGTATATTCCGTATTTGTTTGAATATATGTGAATTTGGTATATATATTCCAATGTATGTGTGTTTGATGTATATGTGGTATATTAGTAGAAATTATACCGGCGACAGAGCTCACACTTTTGTCGGCGACCCTTTTACTGGCGACATACGTCATTCCCGACGACAACATTATTAGCGGCGACAATAGTCATTAGCGGCGACATACTAATAGCGGCGACTATTATCATTAGCGGCGACAAACTGATCAATAGCGGCGATGTAGTAGCGGCGACTCAGTACCGGCGACGCGTCGCCGCTATTATTAGTACCGGCAACTTTTGGGACTTTTACCGGCGACTTTTATCGCGGGTAATAGCCTTTTTCCTTGTAGTGTCATGTACAACAACAAAACTAATGGGGACCTCTTAAGAAAAGCCATGTGTTTGTAAAGGCCCACTTTGAATCCACTTGATTGTGGGAAGATTTATGTCAAGTATGTCCACTTTCATTACGATTTTTGCTAAATATATTTTTATCAACTTAAGTGAATTAATAGCTAATCCATCAATCAGATAATTTTTGTTACTGCTTTAGTTTTTTATTTAAATAGCTAATCCATCAATCAAATAATTTTTATCAACTTAATGGTTTATATGGATACACTTTTTCTTGTACCAACGATTTTTTTTGCTTTTATAATTGAGTAAATACCTTAAAATGTCTTGTAAGTATGTTAATTTGAGTATAAACTCATACATTGACCAAATGGCTCAGTGATATCCGGTGTTGCCTTCCCTCCTCCTTGATATCGATGGTTCAAGTCCCTTGAGAAATAAAATAAAATAAATAAATAAATAAATAAATAAATAAATAGAATATTGGTAGTGTTTTGTTTATTATTTTTTTATTCTATGGGTTTAACCATACCGTTTTGATTAATTTTCTTCTATAGTAACGAAGTCATTTTTGGGGCTAAAATCGAGAGAAATCTAATAGTTAATTGTTGAAGATCATATCCAACAGACATGCAACAAAACCGAAAAATAATATTGAGAATTATATGTCGATTAGTTGCAAATAATAAATTAAATTATTATTAATACAAATACCGAGTTTCGTCCTCGAAGCAAAGATCGATTCGTCGCGATTAGATGTGGTTATAAGGGAAGAAGTAGAATGTCCCGTTATAGAACAAAATTAACAGACATAACAATAAAGTAAAACCAACCTCGTAGTAAAGACTAGTAAACGACTACACGGAAGAACCAAGTCTTTAAACCATCCTCGTAGTTGCAAATCTCACCATAAACACCCAAGATTTGATGCAGATTATTCTTCGTTCCAACATCTATGGAATAAGGAATAAATGCAAAGCGA